AGAGAGAGAGAGAGAGAGAGAGAGAGAGAGAGAGAGAGAGAGAGAGAGAGAGAGAGGATGTTGCAGCATACTGAAAGATATCCTTTGACCAATAGTGGTCATCGCATGCAGCATTTTTATTAGCGTCTCAACAGAGGTGATTGTGGCCAGGTTCAGACGTATGGGTGCGCTCAATCAACTTGCTACAGAGTCATATATGCACTGCGTAATTCTGCACAGTTCTTTGGTCCTATCTCCCAAACTGTCCTCCCAGCATCTTCTCCTTCGCAATAATCTCAAATCACTAAACATTTTGAACAACTCTGACGATTCAACACGGCATACTGAGGGCAAAGAATACGGAATATGTAAATGTATGGTGATAAGTGTAACATAGGTTTAGGAACTGATTGCGCATTCTCAAGCACTGTACAATTGTGAACCACGGTGTCCCTCTCCTCTCGCCCCGGCTTTTGTCCTGAGCATTTTGAACCGCTGTGTGCCTCTCCTCTCGCCCTGGCTTTTGTCCTGCGCAATTGTGACAGTGCCATCTTCTTACCTTTACTATAAATAAAAATACAGCAGTTGGCGCGGCTTCTACTGTCGCTACCTGAGCCTCTGAAAGTCATGGATTGCAAGCGCTATATAATCGTAATCATGCTAACGCATACCCCTTTCTGTTTTATTGACATGCCCGGAGAAATATTCCCAGGCAGCTGGTGAAAGAACATCGAACAGCGAGCCTGTCCGTCAAAGCCAATGCACGCAGTGCAGTCTCCGCCTGACAACTTTCGCTCCATATCAAACAGTGACGGCATACTAGCACTACCAGCCTTTTTCACTAAGCTCTGGACGTGATTCCAGTCAGATGCAACCAATCTTGGCTGTGATTGCAGTCATACATTTAGAAAAGTACCAGTGTGAATACGCCCTAACTGTGGCAATTGACACCCCAAACTCTGGATCCTAGCTGACAGACAACCAGCTCAAGCCACCGCAGAGTAACCAGATGCACTTACCAAACATCCAGCTGTTCACCAAAGGGGATACAAAAGCAACCCCCACGCTACTTTCATGCTCCACATCCTGAATTTGCCCACGTGCAATACCTCCTATTTCACGATTTCAATCTCTTCGTGCTAAGAACATGGCTAGTTACACGTGCCCAACTTACAGGCAGGTATTTGTCATGAGCCAATGCAGCCATCGGTGACGCACAACTTCAGCCAGCAATCCAGCTCTATAGTTAATCCCTCCCCTTTTACTTGTCCCAGGCAATCCACGACTCTTCTCCCAGAGGGAGCCCAGGGCAGGCTTAGGGAAAGGGGGGTTGGGACTACCAATCACAACAAGAATTTCATTTGGGACACAGACCATCACGCCTCGCCTCGCCAAGTCTACGATCAAGTACGAACTGTCTTCTTATCCTCACAAGTCTTCCCGTCCATCATCGTCCATTTCGTTTGCTGGGCTGGATGCATCTGTGCCATCGAAGGCAAAACTCAGAGCTTCGAACATCAAGTTCCCTGCCGCTTTGCAATGCGGTCGGCCACTACAGACCAAATATATCAATTAATTAAATAATGGAGAACTGCCACATAGCCTGCTTTTTTTGGCAACACAGGTGAGTCATCAAAAGCTCATAAACCACCATAGAGAGAGCAGAATCGCCAAAAGATATCCTCCCAGCTCCGCCTGGTTTCTCCGAGCAGAGGACTTGGAAGGCCGCGAACCCTGAACCCCATCGTTGCCCTGAGGCTCTTGCATAAGGCTTCCAGCGGAGGGCGAGGAAGGCTGCGAGCCCCGACCTGAACCGCTGCCCTGCGAGTCTTGTGCGGACTGCATCTGCATAACTGTGCACTCCTGCCCAACGGAGGCATTGGCAGCGGCTACGAGAGTGGGATCCGTTATGTTATCCTTGCACTCAGCAGGAATAACCAAGGGGTCACAGCAGAAAGGAGTCGCCGGAAAGTCCGTATGAGTTGGCCCACCATAACATTCGGGTGTCGTAACCACCTCAGTTTTCAAGGTCCCATCGATTCCCAAATTGGTACCCAGGTATTCAAAGAGCAGGCTCAGGAATGTCGGCGCATCCAATGTGGCCAAAAACTTGCTGATGTTTCGGCAGCTGGCAAACATATCCTCTGCCATATCATTACAGAACTTCAATGTCTTTTCCGTACCATTCACTGCCACGTACCGTGCCGCATCCGGATTGCAGTTTATGGCACAAATAATCGCCTCCAAATGATGCTGACACCGCTGATATGGACGAAGAAGATCGCAGACCTGACCTCAAAAAAAAGGAATAAAAAGTATTACCCATGTAAGCAAAAAAGCACAACTTCCAGTGGACCTTGGACGAGCTGAATCGATTAAAAATAAAAGGGGGAGAGGGAGGGGGGGCGGGTGCATAACGGGCCAAGCTGGGTTGATGCACCCATGCACTGTCGAATTACAGACCCACGTTCGAACCCAGATGCCACCAGACGAACAGATGAACAGAATAAAATAATTATGAACCAAGCATGGGGGATGATGCAGATTGACCCAGCTTTTCAAGTGTATGACCACTTTTTATAGGCGCTCAAAAAAAGATATCAACATACCCAAACTTAAGTTGCAGGACATTTTCGAAAGCAAAGTTCAAGAGTTCGAGCAAATTTCACAAAACCCATGAGGGGAATTCTGCTAATTCCCAGTCGTTCAGCCTTCCTTGCATGCATCTGCATGTAATCACAAACTTTCAGTGAAAATTGTCCCACATACAATAGCCCGTTCTTAAATTAACCGACACCAGGCCATGAAGAACACCAGGGGTTTTCTGCAGCTGCATTACGTAGGCTCCCGCTCCATTTGCCAGGCCCGAAATTTCTTCAGCTGTTTAAACCCCACCAAAACTCTACAACGCACTTTTTTATCCTTCGCTGTTTAAAACACAAGTACAGTACCACGTACTTTTTAGTCATTTCCAGTATGCACGGAAGTACCCCGGAGGCTCGGATCTACAGTCTTCCCCCGAACAAAACGCACGTTCGTTAATTACGAATAGAAAGCACGGGTGCGAGGCTTTGCCTCTATGAGCCCCGTTCAGCCCCTATTATGGAGCCAGTCGGCCGCCCTAAGTGAAGGCAGGCTCGACGAGGCCCTCAGGGCCCTTTTTCGGCTACTGCGCAACGAAGGAAATTCAGGCAGTTGCGCAGCGCCAGTTGGTTGAAGAAACCCAGGCCCTGGGCCGCCTGTGTGAATGAATGGAAAGCAGGCCCTGGGCTGGATACGGGTACCGGGCCGAACACAGGCCACAGGCAGTTGGGCACATGCAACCACCTCAGGCCCTGGGCCTGTTCTTGTGTGTACTGGGCCTCAGACTACCGGGGCCTACTGGAAGCGTCCTGGGACTGGACGCAGGCAGGCCACTTCGATATAGCAAAGGGCCTGCCTCCTCATTCGGCATTCGGGTGCTGGCTGCATGCTGCGCAAATGCTGCTGCGCTATTTGCTGGCTGGCGCCTACGATCTCACGGGCGAGCAGGGAAGGAGCACGCAGCCATAGCTGAGCTGCGCTGCTGTATGCTGGGTGAAGCGCAGGGTGGTCCTTGGGTGCAGGAGGCATCTGTGTGTTGGGGGACGAGGTTGTGAGTATAGCGAGAGACATACCTGGTGCTGGAAGCGTGCGACATTGGTCGCCATATGCTCGTACTTCGGGGACGCTGTTGACGTCAACTTCGGCATTGTAGATAGGATAGATAGGATCTGCCACATGTAGTCTGGGCGCCGAGCGCCAGATAGGATATCAACTCTGGTTCTTCGTTGATGATGATGATGGGACTATTTCAGCATTGTCAATTATGAACTCTTGGTGTGTTCTTATTTGGTGAATCTCGTGATGCAATTCTGCTGTTGGTTCGAGGTCAMGACTAKCWGSACTCVTAYGTATGATGCTGTTTGATTGCTGAAGTTCGCTATTGCTCATCTTCCTTGCACGGGGTGCGTTCTATTCAAATATAACGCACGTGCGTTATGCTACGGATACAGGGTACCAACTTTCGGAAAATGGGGCCCCAAAAAATTTAGTACCCTGAATCCGTACCTTATCCTTCGGGATTAGCATGGCCTCTGAGCAAGGATGACAGGCATAAATCGAGAAATAGTCCACATGTAAAAAGAAAAAAGAAAATAAAAAAGAAAAAACACAACAGCCCGTCAAGAAACCAGGCGGGAGCAATAGGGAGGGAGGGAGCAGGCGGGAGCTAGCAGGTGGGAGCGATTGGGTGGTTTGGTGTGTGTGTGTGTGTGTGTGTGTGTGTGTGTGTGTGTGTGTGTGTGAGAGAGAGAGAGAGAGAGAGAGCCAACACCCATGTGTTCTTGACCCATCGGAAACTAGCCACCCTCCCCCCACCGGCGGCCCCACCCTACTCCCTGACCACCGCGATTGGAATGAAGAAAGTCCCGTTGTGTTAGCGCCTTGTGCATGGAAATGCAAGGACGAAATCCTCCTGAAGCGACCGATCTCGCTGAGCCTTCTTGGTAGGGGAGACGAGGAAGAGGGCAGGGCATGCGCAGAAACACTGGTGCAGTGTTTCCGTGCATGCGCTACCCTCTTTCCCCCCTAATAGAGCTTGTGTCATTGTAGCTGTATTTGGGGCAACTTTCAGTCCAGAATACAGCAGTAATGACCACGCAGAATTCTATGTGGGGGAAGACAGTCCCAAGGGACTCGCTCCACTGCGCAACATTCTAAATGTATCTTTTTTTTCTGACCCGGTAATATTTCCAATACGGTCCAAATGTTTTTGACGAGTCCGAATGTACCTGGTCAATTCATAGTCTGCGCATGTTGAATGTCGAGTAGTGGAGCAAGGCCCTAAGCCCGTAGAAAATGGTGGGAGGTAGCACAGAGTTTTGGGAGGGAGAGAGCAGTTTCTTCGCAGACAACCTGACGTTTTCATTACTTCAGCCAACCTAAACCTTGCAAGGGAGTCCTTCCCGACATCCATTAAAATCGGAACAGTACCGAGAAGATTAGCACGGCCCCTGTACAAGCATGACAGACATAAATCAAGAAATGGTCCATTTTTTTGGCAGGAAAGAAAAAGCAAACTTGCAAGCGAAAACTTAGCGAAATGTCATGCCAAGCGCCAGTGAGCATGAGGAGTCCCACGAGGTCGCAGCCGAATTCCCGTATGGACAGAAGAGCCTGAAGCCGCCAAATCTGTAAACGAGTATCATGCTCCATGAAGAATGGTTCTGGCCACAACAAGGGCAGTGAGAGTAGCATCCCTTACTCACCTCGTGTGGCTGAGTGGTGCACACAGGTATAACCGCTGGTAAACAGATCATCAGTTCGTGTCCTGATGGAACCAGACGGACACAGGGTTTGGCTCCACTGGCCTACTTCGGGTAAACCCCCCCCAAGTATATAACTGAACTTTCTCCACATGGCGCGCCTGATTGGCACGACGGAGCGCATCTGGTGGCCTCATGGTCGTCCCTCAAATTGGAGATGGCCAAACACGATCTCTTTGGCCAAGAATTCGCTTACCGTCAATTCAATGAATTGGACCTCAATTTTGTTAAATGTGAAGTCCCGTTTCCATGGATTCCCAATACACTGGACATCTATTTTGTTAAATGTGAAATTCGTTTCCACGGATTCTCAGCAAATTTTGCTGCTGCTGGGGCACCCTTCTCATAATTGCAGTGTCCAGTACAATAGGCGGAGCCCGGCTTAAAATTACGGTAGGTCCACCACACTTACTCTAAGTTAGGGAAATTCCCCCGAGTAGTCCAGTGGAGCCGAACCCATAGTACACAAGGGGCTATGCCTTCTTTGGTGGGAAGTGAGCCGGAGGTGCGGTCACGATCCTTTTTTATCTTTCGCCTGAATTCAGCGTGCTGTCATTGATTGATAAACGAGGGTGGGAAACTTCACAATACCCCATACGAAACAGGTGCTGGAGGCATCATCCAGCTTAGCTTACAGGGAAAGAAACCTGCGACACTCCCAACATGGACCACAGACCTAGGCTGCAAAACGCGTCCAAGGAGAGTGTCCCTACCTCCTTCCCTACTCTGCATAATCCTGCTAATAAGAAAATATAGCCCGGGACTACACTAACTTCCTACAACTAAGAACTAGCCTAAAAACTATTCTGACTGGGCCTAAAGCGGCACTGGGCAGGCCCTAAGGCGGCACCTGATCTGACAAATGCTCCATCCAACCGCTCCTCCCAGTTTCTCCTGCCCTTCGACTGTGACGTTCAGGACCCGAGCATCGAGGTCCTAGGTGCGGTCACGATTCCCATCAATGGCCTCGCTCCACCGCTCACCAAATGTGCAAAATGCGAGTGACTATTCTGCTAGGGCATGGGAAGATACACCAACATGTCTTTTGTTTTTCTTTCTGCATGTGGCCAGTAGTGGAGCGAGGCCCAATGATTGCAAAGCAGAGTTCGTCAACAAGGCCGTCAATCACTGTTTTTTTCCCACCTGAAATGGCGGAGACTCCCACGAGATTTCAGAGCTTGTGGTCACACTGCCAAGCTCAGATTTTGTGGCAGAGCAAAGATGCAATGTGCACCTTCGAACGTCAAGAAGACACCGAGTTTAAACCGCCAGTTTGCCCCGAAGCGTAATACTGCTCTTGCAAGAGCATTTTGATTCGGGCCTGGGACAGCAGCCAAAGCGGCATGGTGTGGCAAGGCAGAAATGATGTTGTTTTTGAAGGCACGGAATGGTCTAATAAAAAGATATAAGCGCAGCGGTGGCCCAAGGTCTCAGATGCGCAATTCAAGCAGATTGGAGAAGAAAGGTGTCAAAGTCGGTTCACAAAACGGGAGGAGATAGAAGTGGTACAAGGGGACATGGTGTCTCCGCAACTCCTTGGCTCGAGCTGAAGGATAAATCTGAATTCTTGATGAAGGGCTATGTAAGGCATAGTATTCCCTCTTCCATCCAATCTGGCACTCGGTTGTTATTAAGTCACAGTAGACATGCATCTTGCGGTGGAAATGAGCAAGGAGTGCTAAGTTCGAAAGGCTCTATTGAGACCCTGCCACCGTCGTCATGTGGCACCCAGTAGGTCTAGGTAGTTTTAAACAGTTTGCAACTTGATAGGCTAGATATAAAGAGATTATATAGGCTAGATATAAAAAGATTATAGATCTTGGATTTTGCCTTTCTCAATGAATTATCGTGTCTTGTTCTTCACGTTAGAGTGTTACGGTAAGGTACGACGTTTCTTTCGGTTTGTTCTGTTTATGGAGTTGTGGCTATTTTTTTGTACCAGAG